GAGCAGTAATTGATAAAGTTTCCATAAAGATTCAACAGTTTGACATAATGTAGAACAAAAAAGAATCAGAGGAGGAGCCATCTAGTCTCAAAAGGTGTTTGCTGGCACTTGGTGGTGGAAGCATGCATAACATCTTCCCTGATTTTAACCCTGGTAGGTAGCTAAGCACCATACAGCTGCTGGCTCATTCCCCCCGCCAAGAGAATTAGAGGGGAAGAACTCAAAAAACTTTATCTTGTGATAAAGACAGTTTAACAAATTAAAAAACAAAAAAAAGGAAAAAGAAACAAAGGAAAACAAAACCAAGAAGAGTGATACAAAAACATCCAATTACTCACCACCAGCCAACCAGTGTCCAACTGGATGCCAAGCAATGACAGCCCCAGGAAACTTCCCCCCCATTTTTCATATGTTCTGCAATAACCCTTTGGTCAGTTGGGGTCAGCTGTCCCAACTCTGTCCCCTCCTGATGTCTTGTGTACCCCCAGCCTACTCACTGGTAGGGTGTGAGAACCAGGAAAGGCCTTGATGCTGTGTAAGAAGTAGCTAAAACATGAGTGTGTTATCAACACTGTTTGCATTGCAAAACATATCACTATACTAAATATATGAAGAACATTATCCGAGCCAAAACCAGTACACCTTACAACTCTTAACGTAAGACAAAATTCCCCATGGCAAAGTCAGCTATACCTAGCAAGATCTACGTGTTGCTACTGTACTGGGCCTGACTCCTTGGAGGAGAAAAAAACTGTCTACTATATGATACTCATTACAGGATGCAAGTCGTTAAAAAAGATGTATCAAAGGTCACGTCCATGGAGAATCATAGAAGCATATAATTGTTTTAGTTGGAAAAGCCATTTAAGATCATTGAGTCCAACCGTAAACCTAACATATCATTGCATTTAGTCAAATTTCCCTTCCTTTTCAATACCTTGCTCCCCACAAAGCACATGTTCAGTATCCAAATATAAGAGGGGGTGCCACAGGAATTAAGTTTGTTAAAGGTACACCACTCTCATTCTAAGGAACTGTTCTTTACTGTACAATACTTGTGAGACTTGTGCATAAAATCCTGTAACCTATCAATTTCAAAATATAATGTGTCCCAGTTCTGAAATTTACAGTACAAATAGAAGTTCACATCCTTCTAGAGCTTCCCCCTGACTACCAAGATGTGCTGCATGGTACATTAATCCACCACCACATTAAAAATTATGAGGTTATTAATTGAGATATTAGGGAATACTAAGATCATTCAACACAGCTGGGCCACTGACCTTCACCCATTAAAAAGAGAAGCAGTGTTAAAACCACATATACCAAGTCAAAGAAAAAGCCCATCAATTAATTCGATTGAATTTTTAATTGAATCAGAGCAATCTCTTTTACATGTCAATGTAGAAGGAAAAATAAAGCAAGCCACTTCAGAATGAAAACCTAGAAGATAATTGCAAAGTGTGACAAATGTTCATAAAATTTATAAGGCTTTTAATATTTTTTCCAAAAATCATACCAAATTAATTATTATTCTGATTAATCTTAACTCAGTATAATAAGGGATGCTTTATATCCACACTATTCATTTTTTAAGAAAAGGACTTGAGTTTCCCTGTGCCAAAGGCAATTAGTTCAGTGAGGTGAAAATTTAAATGGTAATAATCATATATAACCTTGTAAGATGCACACTAGTGTGTTGGTATTTGAATCCCTTACTAATGCAGGATTGGCTGTGTTTATATAGGACAAGTTTCAAGTAATACATGAGATATTGCACAGAAAACCAGTATTTTTAGATATCCATAGCAGAACAGGAGGGAAGAAAAAGTCAGTATAATGACATAATGATATTAAATAGGCAAGAAATATTGGTAAAATGACATACAACACTCCAGGCTGCTCATACAAGTCTCCTCTCCTTTCTAATGGATTTGAAAGTCCAGCAAGCTTGAGGGATTGTGACTATGCAATCTTACCCCAGGGAATGGGGAGAATGGAAAAGAGAACCTCCAACACTGCTGCAGCTGACAGATGCTCCTCAGCACAAGATATGAAGGGTTTTATTTGCTGTGTACACTGTATCAAGTTTCATCTGAGATGCCAGATGTGTCATTTTGCTTACAACTATAATGTTTGTTTCCATGCCACCACTGTCCCTGAACACGGGGACTTGCTTTGCTAACTTGCTGAGCTCATTAAACTCACATACCCAAAACAGGAGTTTAAAAAAAAAAAAAAAAAAAAAAACAAAACAAAACATTTTAACCTGTGAGAGAGAGAAAATAGCAAACTATATTTTCTTCCAGGGTTAGTCTGAGTGAACTGATATGAGAAGTGTCTCTTGGGTATTTGTTTTTAAAAGAAAAACAAAATAAATAAGGCGGGAGAGATCAATATCTCCAAATAGCATCATACAGAAAAAAAAGATGATAAAATAGTTCACCAAAGATGCCTTCTGTCTACACTGGTCAATGTTGGGAATTAACTGCAACTAAATGCTTTATAAAAATTGATTCCATTTTGGAACCAGGGAGTACAGAATTGTTTCTAGCATATAGCTAGCTGGTATGCTAGAAAACATGAAGAGTAATTGTATTCAGCAAGGTATAAAAATATGACAATGAATCAAAGACAGTAAAACCAAATACTACGTACCTCGATTGTAATATTCACAGTCATAAGCTAAAAGAAAAAGAAAACAAGCGCATTATTATTACAAAGTAACAAAAGAATCTATGCATATCTGCATCCTAAAAATGTAAAATTCATTTTCATCAGAAGTTTCATTTCTCATAATGTATTTCAGTCGGTGACTATATTTCCTTAGGCTTTTATTCGGTGACATACAGCTGTATTTAAATAGATATACCAGGACAGCAGACCTGAAGCACAAATTACTCTGTAGCTGAGAACCCCTCTCATTGTCAATGAAAAGTAGAACAGACTGAACCTATTTGCAGCCCCACACAGAACACTGGCCATAACCCAGATCTGGTATACCAGTGCCCTTCCAACAGTCTCCGTGCTGGCACACCCTGAGCGCAGCCAGTCTTCTTCAGGAAGACAGCAAATTTGGGTGTATAAGACTAAAACACATACAGCTTGAAAAACGTGAAGAAGTACATTTATTATCCACCTGCTTCTGTCATAGTTGTAGTATTGGGCAGCAAAAGGCCAAAGATGCCTTAAAGATGAGCTCCAGTGCAAGGCTGGTGCAGGTACGTACCACAGAGCGAAGGAGATCGCCAGTGAATTGCTGCTCCTTGCTGGCAGCATTTGTGGGCATAAGCTGCAATACTGGTACACAAGCACTCACAGTCCCCACCAAGATTACAGTTGCACGTATCTGTGTGGCAGTTTTTGACAAAAGAAGTCACATCAATCTGGAAGGGCAGGGCAGGGGGGGGTGGAGAGGAATAAAAAGAGGACTGGTGACTTTATTGCATGAGCTGTACAAATTTCTCTTGCACTGTTTTCAGCACCAGTGCTACCTCTAGACTGACTGAAATACTATTACACAAAAAATAAGGCATTCTCCAAGGTTTGGGCACATTCCTATACAAAAAGTACACTTTGAATGATCAGCTTGTACCTACATTACAGACTAAGAGAAAATTTCAGTGACTACTAACAACTATGCCTGTCCACACACTTGCTGTTCATCAGTTTTTGAGAGTATATTGAAACTGGCAGTTCTGTGTTTTTATAACACAAATACTGCCATCTATAGTCATCCTGTCAGTTTTCCATGAATAACAAAATCAGAGCTGCAGCTCTGATTATCAAGTAATTAAAGTAATAATTTGTAGAGGGGATTTTGGTCAGGGAAAGAAAGCTTAAGCATGCTGGTAACATTTTGCAGAAAAATATTTCTGCATTGTGATAGTTTCAAAATTTTAATACACTCTGCCCACAAACCTTCATTAGATCAGAAACCCATGTCCTCACTCTGAATTCCTATCACATTATTTTGTGGTTTTATATGATGCACTATTTCTTGGGGTTTAACAATTTTTTTTTTAATGTTGAGCAACATTTCCAAAGCAGTGTTTTTACTCGACACATGGAATGTTTAAAGCAATGCTTTTCTTTGGTTTAAAATCTGATCTAGCTTAGTTGTAGAACACTCAAATGGCACACATCAGATTTCAGAAATACCATCACAGTAACAAAGCAGCACTTATCTAACAAAGAGACAGCTTCTCGGCTGGCAGTTGCTAGAAGCTGGCAGGGATATGAAGACTGTTTTTCTGCCTTCAGTGGAGTGAGATGCCATTTTGCTTTCATTCTTTTGCTTATTTTCAAAACAGGGATACCACTGGAGTTAGAACACGAGCATTAGCTCTATTGCAAATGGCTGTAATAGCTTCGCAGGAACCAACAGCAGATTGTCTCCAAAGAGCTGAACCTGTCTCTCCTGTCTGCAGGACAGCATCTCTCCATGGGTCAGCAACACTCTGCTGTTGTGACAAACTGGGAACCTCGGGTCAAAGCTCCTGCTGAGTTCAGGAGTTATGAGGAAGACCTTTTTTCTGTGAATGTTGAGGCTCATCACTCCCTGCTGAGCTCATCGCTTAGCTGGGCAACTGCAATCTCTCAGTTGCTGCCAGCCAGAGATGTAAGATTTTGCTTCCCTGAAGACAGAGTTTTCCAGCCTCAGCTGAACTCAGAGGCCGCCTGTCCCACAGGCAAGAGATTGCCTCCACGCACAGCAGGATTCTCCACCACCCGCACAGCAGGAGTGACTATAAGAGTGCTGCTCCAAGCACATCCTGAAACCCACATCTACACTTCCTGTTCCTTCCATGCCCCCAGTGTCAGTCTCTGCTTGGGCTTTTTTCTTTGGCACCCGCTTCCCCACCCATGCAGCCATCAGTCAGCTGCAGAGACCCTTGATAGGAGGTCATGTCACATTACTTTCGTAAGAGCCGTATTTTCACAAGCTGATGAATAGGTTGTAAAAACACCTGAAAGATGTTCACTTCACAGGCTGTCCCATACACTACAGATATGTGCATGTGAAAATACTTGACTACTAATTAAATGAGATGGTTTGCACCTGACATGCATTTTTAACTTAATTATGCTAAGCTTTTTGCATGTTTGCAAATTTTAATCACAACATGGATAAGATAAAGAAAATTAATGTTCAAGAGAAAATATCTTTATGAGTAATAATAATACAGCTCCTTAAAAACTCTCAAAAGTTCCATTTTTATTTATTACTTTCCACTTTGAAAATACACTCATCACTATGTTCTCAGGCACATGCTCAAAAAATTCTTTACATAGTAACCAAAGTCAACATTAATAAATCTCTTGGGTTAAGCTACTGCAACCTTCTCCTCAGGCAAATTCCTGACCATGTTGATATCAAACTTCAGTCTTGAAAGTCAGGAGGTTCAGTTGGGACATCTAATGATCTCATTTAGTATTAATAGTCATAAAGAAAAAAAGAATCTGAGACAAAATATCACAGTGGATCTGGCTTGCAGAGGTATGAAAAAGCAGCTTCAATAACCTTTTTGAGGCTAAGATCAGAAATAGGGAAAAATGCACAGATCATGTCTTACATTGATAAAGAGTGGACTAAAATGGAGTAAAAAATTGTTGTCCCCATCTTGGCTAGATTGAATTTAAGGACATTCTTGTAACTGAAGTCCCAGGTTCAGGCAGGTATTGGGAAAATAGGGACACCAAACCTCTGAGTTTTGATAAAAAACAGATTATAAGCTGTCAGCCAATTAAAAATACTGACAGTTCTGAAGCTGAAATCTTGCTCTCTCATATTTCTTTCTCTATTGAGCAGGGCCATTAAAAAATAAAATAATTTGAGATAAGCTGTAGACACATTACACAAGTGCTTACTTTAGAATCCTACAGTATATACAAAAGCCTTAAAAATTTAGTTACCTATATAAATAAAAAATATAAATAAAACCTAAAAAAGAACAGAACCTTGATTATCCAGCCTACTAATTCACGGTGCCCAGTTATTACTAATATGTTTAGGCTCCAGTCTTGAAAGGAACAAGAAGCTCTGCACAAACATAGCCCACCCACACAGAGATACTTACAGGGCTTTCCTCTGTATTGTCCACAGTATTCAGACTGAGTGGAATGGCAAGAAGAAATTAACTACTCAAATTTTAATACTTTCCTAAATGAGAGCACATCTTGGATATTTAACAAACTTACCACATTGCGACAAGGTGCAAAAACATCACTGTATAAAATTGAGCATTCCTTTTTGGCATAAGGGAACTTGCTCTGATGTACCTCACAGGGTTTTAGTGTTTCATTTGCGCTCTTGCACTTTAAAACAAGCAAAAACACCACAAACATTTTATACAAAGGTTTGTCTACTGTGGACTCAGGTATATGATAGTATTATATAGTTCAATATCTGCATACTTAGAAAAAAAAGTTTAAATGCTATTTTCTTTATCTTCCCCTTTCCCTGATTTGTTATTATAATTGAAAACATTTGCACAAAGAAGAATCTTTGTGTTTTGTTCTGAAGTACTAAAATGTTCCTGCTGTCTGCTCAGTGCATAAAGACAAAATGTTTTCTTTGTGACATGTTATAATCATTACCAGAGCAACCAACTGTAACATCACAAACAAATACATGGTCCAAATCCATCCCTAGTGGTTATGCACTGACTTTAAATGGAGTCACACTACAAATGACTTTAGTCCTGTAAGTTCAAATAAAGAAGCAGTGGTAGGACAAGAGCAACTCATTAAAAAAAAAAAAAAAAAAAAAAAAAAGAGAGAGAGAGTCAAAGATCATCGTGATAACTCAAAAATGGCTGAGATACAACTCCCTCTCTTAAAGTCTCTCTTCAAGAAGAAAAACAAACAGAAATATGTAACAAAACGACACTCAGCTCAGGAAACACAAGTTCATCCAAAACCATAATCTCTTAGTGCAGCAGGGAAGCCCAGGAGGGGATAATATTGGATCCATAGGCAGCACTGGGGTGTCCTGGCACCTCAGCTGCAGTGCAGTCACCCACCTACACTGTGGTCCTCTGCAAATGCTCAGATGCCACTGTGGGGGGACATGCTTCCACTCCCAGGAGGAAGTAACCCTGGAAGCACCCTATGCTTCACAGTGCCAACGCAAGCATGTTTGCCATTAGCAGAGCTGGTTTCTAGGCCTCTCGCTAGCAAATACTCCTTTACAGTATTTAGATTTTGAAGAAAAGATGACCAGGATACATCTCTATGAAAGTCAAAGGTCCTTTCTGAAAAAAGCCCTAACAACGCCTGCTGAGAAGGCAGATGAAGTGTCAAGGCTGGCTGAGCACGGGCTGCCTGTGAGGCCAGTGGTGAATTCAGATCCTGTGCTTGCTCACATAACTTAAACATTTTATGTAGAGGAAAATAAATACAAAGGGAGATATTGAGGGAGAGAAACCTCAAACTCTTTATTCCAAAGCAGAATAGGCATCATACTCTCATGAGGTAAGAGATTCTGGTTCAATTTCCTGCTGTGAGTCAAGGAGAGAACAGATTAAAAACTGGTTCTCACAGACTCCTAAGGGAGTGCTTTACAAATACTGATTTTTCAGGAGGTTCACAAGGCTATGAAACCTTACATCTCCTCAGCAGAAATTATAAAATACTCATTCTCCTGTGTTATAAAACACAGTTGCAGTCATCCACTCTCTAGAGCCACTTCCCTTCTCCTCAGAATCAATTACTCCATACTGGGTTGTTCCTGTTGCTATTCTAAGCCTTTTCTATCTCACCTCTTCACCACCACTACTTCATCAGTTTGTTCTCTCTTTACAAACTGTAACTAAAAAAAAAAAACCCACCAATTTTTTTTTCAGTGTTCAGAAACTTTTTTCCAGATCTTTTTTTCCAGTGTTCAGATTCTTTTTAATTTCAATATCTTGATGCCTCCAATACCAGAGAAATTACAATTGCTTTAAAAATTGGGCTGAATCAAAAATATCAAAATGTATCCAACTGTGTAGAAAATTGAAATCCAGACAGCTATTATAATTATCTTATATAAGAAAAAACATATTCTTGTCTAAAGACATTGGTTTAATTTAAATTCACTATATGTGTTCTTTGCTATAAAACATTATTAACACATCTCACATGTACAGACATAAAAATTCAAATGTCTTCTTACACACCGATCATCAGTTTAGAAAATCCCTGTACATCATGTGCTTAGAACCTGTTCATTTATAAATTAAAACTATCAGCCTTTTTCTAAAGATTTTAAATGGACATGGGACTCACCTGTCCTAATATCCAGCTGTCTCCAAACACCTGTGCATTTCTCACCTCCATGTTGTTTGATGTAGTCAGATCATTTGAAGTATATTTGTCAAAATTTCCACACAAACCTGCCAGTTTACCCTACAAGAGAAGAAGAATTCTTTTTTATGCATGTGTATATATATATATACACACACACACACTGGCAGTCAATAATTGGTGCAAATTACATATACAGAATAAAATATTCTTAAACTGAAAAAGGTGGATGCAACTCTGACTTATACTTTGAAAATATCTGATACTCTGCTATGCTTACAGTTACATATTTCAAATTTATGTTTTCCTTTTCTCTTCCTGTTTTCCAGAACCTGTTCTTCCTATCTGCCTGTGAAAAGTGACTGGAATCTAGTAATATTTTTTTCTGAAAGTTTAGCAGTGCACCCAGTGCAAAAGTCAAAAGTTCAGGTGAACTACCTCATGTGAGGAA